AAACTGCAGTGTTGTGAACCCTCATAAATCCTCTTCTCATTTCACCTGGTAATAACTTTAAAACTTATTCAGTATTGTACAGAGCTGCTAGGTACACAATGTCTGTTTCTGTTAGCTTAGAGCTACCTGTATTATGGGTGTGTCATACTTTGTATATAAAAAAGACATCAATAGATTTTCGCAAATCCTGTACCTGTACCTGCAGAATTTATTCAAGGGATTATACACTCAAAGCTTCTTGTGTTTCTAATCCAGTATCTAAAGGTCAAATTGTACTGCTTTTACCAGAAGCAAAATCTTATTGAATAAATGCATCAAGCATTTGGCCTGAGAGCCGTCAGACTTGGCATTATGACATGCTTCTTGTTTAGGAGCTAAAACCAAAATACGACGTCTTTCAAAACTGGTTCCATCAAAACAAGATTCTATTGTACATATATCACATGCTTTATTTGATATCTGCAAGAGCCAAACAGGATATTATGTGGCGGAAGATACATAACAGTCTCCTGACGTTGACTGTGGGAGGCTGGGAAGTTGAGGGGTAGAATGGTGGAGGGGAGAGACTGCTTACTATGCTTTTCTGTTCCAAACTGTTTTCTCGCCCATGAGGGAAAATATGGAGGAACTTATATCAGTTTTTGCCATGGTGGTGGGGAGAGAATAATGTGAGAAGGGGCTGATTTGAGACAGGGCCATTGGAGAAGTGGTTGGCAGTGCAATCCTAAGGAGAGTTCCACATTTCTAAGCCAACTCAGTGGCTTCAGTGGAGTCAGGTTATAACTCTGCTTAGGACTGCACTGCAGGAGCCTTCTTTCCCTTCCACTGCTCAAACTTCCAGCCTTTTTTGTGGCCTCTGCTTTTAATTTTTTTAAAAGCCAGGGGAGTGTTGCATTTTGGCTTCAGAGAATGGTGGAGCAAATGCTAACCAGAGTTTAAAATTACTTTAGGGGGGGTTTATCAGTTAAAATGAGACTTCTTTCTATGTATTTACTCTGGTGAGATCTCCAATTAAAGTGTTCTGCCTAAATTACATTAATCTTTCTTAATGCTGAGAAACCAAGCAAATGTCTGTCAGATAATTAGAGGGATACATACTGCTTTACTTCAAGAACAAATCCTTTATGCATATTTATTGTATTCTTATCCTACCTTTTGTTCATAGAACTCAAGGAGGCAATTTTAGGGTTCTCAAAGGGTCTCTCAACCAGGCAGCATCCAGTCATCCATAGCTTCAGTACAGTGGCTCTCCTCTGTAACTTCAGACCATGTCATGGAACTTAACAGCAATTTGAAGTGCTTCACATTTATTATTTTGGTCATTCTTGCAGCCAGCCTGTAAGCTAATTTAGTGCTGTTTACTCTGATTACCACTTCAAGTTGAAATGGAGGCCTGGCTGCTTAAACCATGGTTAAGAGAACCAAGCTGTTTCCACATGGGGACAGTTCCTCCTTGTGTACTCATCGCTGCTGCAAATGCAGAGACATTTACAGAAGAAATGAAGGGGCCACACTAAGGGCCAAACTAGACGATATGGCAGCTAGGGGTTGAAACTCTGGCTGCCAATGCCCTTTTAAGGAAGAATTTAACCATTAAAAATGCTTCCCTAAAATGGCATCAGCAGTCATGGGTTGAGCCTGTGGCCCTGTAGCTCTAGTTTGGCCCTGAGGTATTTTCTGTGATAACCTGTTTGTGTTCATCATCTTCTCCCTCCTAATATGCTTTTTGCTGACTTTTAAAATCAATGGTAGGTATATCACTAGAGCATCAAGGCACTATAGTAATGTCCCTACTACTGATTTTTTTAAAAGAGTGCCAGCAAAAAACCTGCCAGTGTTTCAGGGAGGTGGATTGTAGGGATGAGGGGAAACTGAGATTTCTATGAATAGGGGTGGGGAGCTTTGGAAATCCACACCTCCTTATATTTCTGCAACAAAAAAGGCTGGAGACTCATCTTAAAAAAAAAAAAGCTGGAAATTCAGAGGAACTAGTAAATCATAGCTGCAACTTGACAACACTTGCATTCATCAATTAGAGGTCAGGTGAAAGTAAGGAAAATAATTCCTTCAGACTGAAGACCCCTGGTTTTCATATGTATCCTTTGGTGGTGATACAACACTGTAAATATTACCTATTAAGTCCCACTGATTTCAGTTGGAAGGATCAGGAATATGTTCACTTCTCTTCTATTGAAATTAATGGGCCTTATATTAGGCTGATTTGTAGTTATAGTTATTATACTAATAGCCAAGGGTCCCCTCTCTGTGCGGATACTTAATTCTGCAGATTGGGACCACATGGGGGAAAAAGAGATTATCCTGCACACGTCAGTTATTTCCCAGGTGTGCAGAAAAATCTAAAAACTTTAAAATATAGAGAGGGGAGTTAAAAAACAGCCAAAAAGTAAAACAGAGTTCACTGCGGCTGCCTAGAGAATGGACTTACCAGGGCAGAGGGGGAGGAGCCTTCTCTCCCCGTCCCTCTCTCTCCTATTGATCTGATAGCATTGAGTCCTCCCCATGGCCACGCCCCCTCCACCGAAGGTTCAAGCCTCCAGCAGACAAATTGCGATTTAAAGCAAACTGCAGCAGCTCTCAGTTCTCTTCACTGGGCAGCTCCTTCCACTTTGCAAGAAGGAAGCGCACATACACCCCACCCCACCCCTGGGGAAACTGGCGCAGGCGAGAGAAGTTCCCAGTGCCTCCACTCTTCCTCTTCCCCCACCTCCTCCCAGCTAATTAAGTTTTAGGTTTACTGATAGAACAAAGAAGTCTGGAGCAGAAGGATTTTGCCCAGAGGTGGGTCCGCCTGGCCAGTTCTTTCCCTGCATTGGAATGCCAATAGAGTGAGAATGGCAGAGGCTTCAAATGTAGCTCTCTCCCCCCCCAACCCAGCGACGCTGCTCTTTGATGCCTCATCCTGACCAAAGTGGTATTGCTAAATCAGCTGAAATGTTGAGTTACAGTAGTTTAGTCATGGGAATGCTATTAAAACTGCAGAGCTTTGATAACAATGATTACTTTTAAACTGTGGGGTTTCTCTGGACTACAGTCACCAGTGTTCCCTCTAAGCTGAGTTAGTGTGAGCTAGCTACAGCTTTTTAGCCTCCAGCTCACAGATTTTTGTCCTAGCTCAGAGAGTCACAACACATTATACAACATTTTGTTACGGGTCCCTTGTAGTTATTATATTGAGCGCAAAGATGGATGTAGAATTCAACATTCATTGTGAGCATATGGTAACAATGATCCAAGACGGCAAGCAACAGTGTACTGGTAAGATACTTTCGTAGTCTATGTAAGCAACAGTCAGTTCACTAGAATTAATAGCTTCAGAAACAATTGTGCAGAACCGAAAATACATAGTTCTGGACCTGATTGTTGCCAGAATTCAGCATTGTCAGTTTAGAATTATCTGATCGGAATTGTCTGGTCAGTCTTACACATAGCATAAGAAATTTGGTTTTCAAGGTGAAAGTCACATTCTGCCAGACCTAATCCACTGGGAAAACCCAAGATTAACTTTGAAATTTATTCTTAAGTAAATTTTGAACCATGGGTGCTTAATTAAAAATTGGATTACTATGAAATTTCATATTGTGATATACATGATGTTAATTTATTATTCAAACACCTTTCCCTATATTTCTTTAATCTCTAGCAATATAAAAAATTGGATCAAATTTTCCTTTGGCAGTCAACAAACCATCGATTGGTTAGCATACCATGTAGCAATCTTATCTTTCCAACCAGTCTTTGGAAAACAGAACAGGCAGAACAATTTGAGACATTACTTGCATTCATTTTTTGATTTATTATATGCTGTGTTTGAGATAATTGTGGCTCCAGGTTTAGGTGTTGAAGTCAGAACATAAAATAGCAATATAGCTCCTAGACGACAGCTCTTGTTTTTAGAAAGTAGTTGCCTAACATCCATTATGCGTTTTTGAAATATTTACTACCTGTTTAATATGTATTATTATCTCTCAGATTTATATCTCATATCAGTGCTTTCAAAGCTGTGTTTGTGTGTGTGCGTGTGTGTGTGAAGTGTCATCAAGTTGTAGCCAACTTATGGAGTCACCATATGATTTTCAAAGCAAGAGACGTTCAGAGGTGGTTTGCCATTGCCTTCCTCTGCACAGTGACCCTGGCCTTCCTTGATAGTCTCTCATCCAAGTACTATCCAGAGCTGACCCTGTTTAGCTTCCAAGGTCTGGGCCATCCAGGTCAGGGCATGTCCAAAGCAATAAAATAGGTTATTAAAAAAAAATAGTAAAACTACTCTATGTATAAAAGAACAATAAAAATCAAGGCAAGATGCATATCTTAAAATGATATTTTGAGTACTAGTAGTTTCATATCCCTGTCCAGCTAGGCACATAAGTAGGCTTCTGTGTGCATATCCCTATTGGCTGTTAAACTTTGTCTTCAAGTGGGTTGCTGACTCCAGTGTAGCAGCCATACTTCACACATATGACCCTATTTTTAAAGCTAGAATTAGACTAATCAGTTGTTTGGGAAAAGAAGTGGGGGGAGGGCTGGATGGAATGGTTCCCAACTTCTCAGCCCTTCCCTGTAAAACAGCAGATCTATGGAATTCCAGCTCTTTAATAAAGAGTTATATGCATGCAGCCCTAGTCACTCTGTTGGATTGTGGCCTCCAGATGATATTTTAAGGGTCTATTAAAAATCAATAAAAACAACCTTTCCTATTCGATTAACATATGATCATGTAGTTGCCTTGTAGTAACTAAATGTACATTAATCAGTTCTGTATCTGAGCTGAGTTGATCTGTGGTCAGTTTTTGTTAAAAAGAAAGAACCGATATTAACAAATCAATGCTAATAAAATCTAGTTCCTAACCTGTTTGTTTTTTGAAACCTTGTCAACTATTGTTCTGTAAATACCAAGTATTGTGAAATAATTTAAAGGATATACTTTGGTTGATCAAGAAGAAAAATCTTCCCTCCATTACATCTATGCTTTGTTCTTTTAGGTGTTCCATACTTCACTATTGAGCCTGAAGATCTGTCTGTAGTCCCTAATACTCCCTTTCATATGGCCTGTGCTGCAGTTGGTCCACCTGAGCCAGTTACAATTGTATGGTGGATGGGGGATTCCAGAGTTGGGCTTCCTGAAATCTCCCCCTCAGTCCTCAATGTGTCAGGTAAGGCTTTCTCCAAAGATAAATAAAACCACAAACAGGAGGGATGTAATGTTGGCTCATGAGGAAAAGATAAAAATTACACCTGTATCATTTCCCAGTTTTATGTGAGATGGTTCCTCAGATGTGTAACAAATGTGAAAAACACGTGATAACATCAAGTATATGGTACAGAGTGGAGATCATCAAAGATGCAGATGTTTTATGTAATTTATTTTAAATATTTATGTCCTGCTTTTCTGTACATCGGAACCAATGTGGAATGTATTACAAAATAGATAATCCAAAGAATAAACGTATGAAGCTGTGTTATACCAAGTCAGACCATTAGATCATTTAAGTCAATACTTTGACTAGCACTAGCAGCTCTCTGTGGTCACAGGTGGTGAATGTTTCTCACATCACCTGCTATTTTAGATACTAGAGATGCTAGGGATTTAATCTAGGACCTTCTGCAGACCATACTTCCTATCACTGAGTTGCTACCCCACCCTCAGATAAATATGCCCATTTAACAACTACAGTGTGTACCACCTTCCAGCTCCCTCTGTAGTATAACTATTGTAGGTATATTCCTGGTAATAAATTTTGGGTTTATCATTTGTTTTATTAATTCTAATGCCTGGGTCTCTTCTGAGTGCTTCTGTGTCCTTCAAAAAAACAGAAAGGCATCCGGCTGCATTGGTGTGCGAAAGAGAAAAGCCTGCAACTACAGAGACTCAGTAGACAGAACCTTGTTAGAACCCTAAGAATTATTTATTTATTTATTTGATTTATATACAGCCTTCTCTGTGGGTGTGCTCAGGGTGGTTTCTTCTTCTGCATCTCCCCCCCCCCCTCCTTCCAGGGCTGCTTTTCCAAAACCAAACTGTTTGCAAGGTTCCACTTTTGTATGTTTTAATTCGGGGAGATTGCTTTTTTTTTTTGGCCGCGGAGCAGGGGCCTTGGAGAGACGGGGGAGGAGGGGAGCCGAAAGCCCCCCCCCACCGAAGGGGCAGGAGATTCCCGTGGCCTGGGGCTAGACGCCTCCCCGCTGCTTTGGAAGTGCTGCAAACTTTGCTGGCCGTGCTGCCTCCTCCACCCCGGCGGGGCGCAGAGAAGGGGGGCAGGCGGGCAGAGACCCTCAATCCTGCTGCCTTTCTTTTCTCTCTCACCGGGAGGGGGGGCCTCAGCTGCCGCGGGGCCCTGCTCCCCTCCCCGGCGCCGATCACCCGCTGGCCACCGCCATTCCGCCTCTGCCTCCTCCCCCCTGAGGGGGGAGGGCGGGCGAGCTGCGGTGCCGCCTCCTCCACCCCAGCCAGGCACAGAGGGGGGGGAGACCCTCGATTCCCAGCGCCTTTTCTCTCTTGCCGGTTGGGGGGGCGCAGTTTGGCGCCCCTGAGGGCCAGCGTGCCCTAGGCGAGCTGGCCCTGAGGATTGCAACAGCACAGACATTTTGATGCAATAATTCAGAGCAAGAGGTGTCAGCTATCAGACACTGTAAAATAAACAAAATATTGCAAGAGTGCTAATGTTTGAAGCATGTTTTTATTTTAAGTAAAAAAACCCTTTGTGTTTTGTGTCCTTTATAAAGTTTATATCTCTGCTTCCTGGCATTATGTTTTATGACACCTGTGGCCCGGCCCAACAAGGTCTCATTTATGTCAGATCCAGCCCTCATAACAAATGAGTATGACACCCCTGCCCTACAGGTTTCTCAGTCTTGTGATTTCTGATGTCAGATTTGTGTCAGTTTGTCCTTTGGCATAGGCTTTGTCCTTTTTGTCCTATGTAGAGATACAAATGGGAATGCTGGCATTTACTGGCATATACAATGTTAGAAGATTAGCAAGTGAATGCACCTGAGATGGTGTAGTTGGTGCTGTTGGGTCCAGTGACTGTGTTGGCAGGGTGTATGTGGTAGCAAAGTTGGCATCTGGGTTTATTGCAAGCACTGGTCCCAGTTTCCATGTTCAGATTAGATGTTGCATTATTGTGAGTGAGGAGTTGTTTGAGATTGGGGGGTTGTCTGTGCACAAGAAAAGGTTTACCTCCCAGTATTTGTGAAAGTCTCTTGAGAGTCCCTCGGACTGCCAGGAGATCAAATCAGTCAATCCTAAAAGAAATCAACCCTGACTGTTCCCTGGAAGGCCAGATAATGAAACTGAAGCTCAAATACTTTGGCCACCAAATGAAAAGGGAGCACTCACTGGAGAAGCCCCTGATGCTGGGAAAGATTGAAGGAAAAAGAAGAAGGGGACGGCAAAGGATGAGATGGTTAGACAGTGTCATAGATGCAACGAACATGAAATTAGGAAAACTCCGGAGCACAACGGAAGACAGGAGGGCCTGGTGTGATGTGGTACATGGGGTTGCGAAGAGTCAGACTTGAGTGTGTGACTAAACAACAAACATTTTATGAAAGAGAACTGTCATTGTCCAACTATGATATGAGATTCCATTTCATCGTCTGATGAAGTGTGCATGCACACGAAAGCTCACACCTTGAATTTTTGTTCTTTGTTGGTCTTAAAGGTGCCACTGGACTCTAACTTTGTTCTGTTGCTTCAGACCAACACGGCTGCCCACCTTGATCTATTTTTATTCACATTGTTTTGTTTAAAACTCCCAGTTTGAACCTATTGTTTTCCTCACCTTTCAATAATGTTATTTGTGTAAGTGTGTTCAGGTTTTGAATGAGGCATCCACACTAACCTAGCCCTTTTAAGACTAAAAGGGTAACAGATTTTGATGAAGGTAGAGTAAAAATCGGTGGAAGGAATATTGAGATATGCAGATGACACCTCATTACTGGCAGAAAATAGTGAAGACTTGAAATTACTGCTGATAAAGGTTAAAGCAGAAAGTCCCAAGGAGGAAGATGAAAAGTAATGACTACTGAGGAATCACACAACTTTAAGGCTGACAATGAAGAAATTGAAATTGTTAAAAGGTTTTCTGTTCCTTGGCTCCGTGATCAACAAGAAGGCAGACTGCAACCAAGAAAGGAGATTGAGACTGGGAGTGGGAGTTAGGAAGGAAATAGCAAAGATCTTAAAATATAAGAAAGTATCGCTGGAGACCAAGAGCAAGGTAATTCATACTATTATTTGTATGGATATCTATTAGTATGTATGGATATGGAACTTGGACAATGACAAAGTTGCCAATTCATTTCAATTCATTTCAAATGTAGTGTTTGAGGAAAGTTTTACTATTTTTATTTATTTATTTATTTTTGGGATTTATATCCCGCCCCATCCAATATACAGCTCGGGGCGGCTAACAAACGGCCATGCCGAAGTTAAAATATGCATACAAACAACAGCATAATAAAAATGCTATATCTTAACATAAAAATTTGGTGCTTTGATAATTTACATAAAATCCAAGATGGGCGACGTCCCACACTGGCGGCCAAGTTCTTCACAGCAGGAGCGCCAGGAGGAATGTTTCCCCAGCTTTATTGGGCGACATCTATCCCCACTATGTGGGGTAGATGGTTGGAATATCATTGGTGGAATAGTGGCGGCGGCGGCTCCCCCTCAAAGGCCTGGCGGAAGAGCTCCGTCTTGCAGGCCCTGCGGAACTGCACTAGGTCCCGCAGGGCCCGGATCTCCTCCGGGAGCTCATTCCACCAGGTGGGAGCCGCCACCGAGAACACCCTAGCCCTGGTTTGGGTCAACTTCACTTCCCGGGGGCCTGGAACCTCCAGGCGATGGAGATTCCCCGATCGCAGTGCTCTTGGGGGAATGTATGGGGAGAGGCGGTCCCTTAGGTAGGCCGGACCCTGACCATACTAATACTATGGACAGTCAAAAAGACAAAAAGGGGCCCTAGATCAAATCAAGCCTGAATTCTCTGTAGACACTAGAATGACTCAACTGAGGCTATTTTACTTTGGTCACATTATGAGAAGACAGACTCACTAGAAAAGACAATAATGCTAGGAAAAGTTGAAGACAGTAGGAAAAGAAGAAGACCTAGCATGAGATGGCTTGACTCAGTAAAGGAAACCATGGCCTTCTAGTTGTAGAAGTGTTCTGGAGCTGGAATGACAGCCCCTGAGACTAAGAGAAGTGCCCTGGGACTGGAATGACAGGCCCTGGGACTCAGAGAAGAATTCTGGGACTGGAATGACAAGCTGTCGATTCCCTTTGGTTGCTGTAATTCCAGTCCCAGAATACTTCTGCTACTACCAGGAGCCGTCATTCCAGTTGGGGAGGGCTATCATTTAAGTGCCAGAACACTTCTGCTATTCCCAGGGGCTATCATTCCAGCTCCATAACACTCACCTTATTCCCAGGGGCTGTCATTCCACTCTGCGACCTGTCATTCCAGCGCCAGTAGGTTTCTCCTACTCTCAGGGGCAATGTATAATGTGTACCTTGGACCTATGAAGGTTCCAGATATGGCAGAGTTATGGAGTAGCCTTGTAACTCAGAACTGTGACCCATGGGCTGTCAGTCCACTCTGGGAGCTGTCATTCCAGTCTGGGAACCTGCAGTGATGTAATCTGTAGTTCTGGGAGTGGAATGACAAGCCATCAATCCCCTTTGCAGTGCCTCAGTGTCATTGGTTCTGATGGGCACATTGCAGTGGATCTGCTGGGCTTGCAAAAATGCCCTCCACCTTCAGTTTCTGTTGCAGAGATTCTCTGGGACTTTGATTCTGTTCTGCTGGGCTTCTGGCACCCTTGCTTTTGGGGAGGGCGGGATATAAATCAAATAAATAAATAAATAAATATTTTGCTGTTTTTTCCTCTCCATTGGAAACAATGGAGGATACCTTGGAGGGGGGTAACTCACACCCTGTAAATCAAATCATCACCAAACTTGGAGGGCAAGTAGAGGAGAGTAATCCAGAGATCCTCTGTGAGGCTGGTGTCTCTAGCACACAGAGGTACATTCTACGAACCTCACACACTGAACCAGTTTGTTTAGCTCCTAAAAGTTCAAGACAGTTTGTGATTCGTGAAGTAAATGTGATCTCTCAGACTGATGTTAAGTGTGACTCTTGAATAT